AGCCTGTAAAATTTGTGTTCTGCTTCATCTGTTTTTGATGGGGAATGTTTGAATTTCTTAAATGTTGGGGATGAGAAGCTTGAGATAGTTATTTTGTAGGAATTTTAGATGGACATAATCGAAATGAATGTGAATTTATTGGTAGTGTGAGGGGGAAATCAATATTGCTAATTGGGTTTGGTGGGACATTGAGGTATGGTATACATTGTTCTGTATAAAATGCATGTGTTTTCATGAACAGCTTTTAATTCTATGAGTTTCGATTTACTAAACCTGGTAGAGTTTATATTCTTTCCACGTTCGAAGATGACCTTTTGTTTTAGTTGGCTTTTTAAATCCAAGAGAGATTTGGTGAAAAAGTTGGCCAAGGAAAGTGTAATAATCATGAAAAAAGAAAACTTTACCGATAAGACACAAACACGTGCTGACCGAGGCTAGAATTTAAATGATTTGGAGCTGCTGCTTTACAATATTTCCTATTTCCGTTTGCCGGAAATGAGGATACCTGCCTGATCAGGATTATCACCCTTATACATTGTTCTGTTTGTTGTTAACTGGCCCTTCTCCGCTGCTAACTTATGCAATTATGTCTGTTCTTCCATTTACCTTTTTACTCCACATTTTGAAAAAAAAAAGAAAAAAAAAAAGAAAAAATCTATAGTATCTTTTGAAACTGTCGGTCATGATTTTGATGGTTTTTCCAGGTGTGGGTAAGAGTTGCCTTCTTTTACGTTTTTCCGATGGTTCTTTCACCACCAGTTTTATTACTACCATTGGGTATGTTTCCTTCGAGCATCAGCAGACTCCTTGCAGATTCAATATTTGATCTTCTCCTGGCTCCTGTTTATGGTTTCTTTTTCTTATACAGGATTGATTTCAAGATAAGAACTATTGAGCTTGATGGGAAAAGAATCAAACTGCAAATATGGGATACTGCTGGACAGGAGCGATTTAGAACTATCACAACTGGTATGCATCTGAGAGCTGCAATATGTTCCTTTTCCCTATTATAGAGTCACTAAACGGTTTCATTTGCATTGTGTTACTTGTGTAAATGTATTATGGTATACATCTGCAGCATTTATCTGTTTTCAGTTATGATGTGTAACACGTGTCAGAAGAAGCATTTTTGCTTCTTGATCAGTTTGTGTTTTTAGATGACAGCTAGATGATGTCAATGATGGAAAGTGAATTGAAGAATAGTGAAAGAAATTTTGAATATGAGAGAACCTTAGGGACTTACGATATTTGTTCCGCTGACCTGCACTCCACAGGCAAATCTCCCCGAAATCCATTTAATAAGCATTGGAAGAAGTGAAGTAACATGTTATTCACTTCTTCTTCAGATGTCAGCAAGTTTTCATAGTGTCTACCACACTTTCAATGATTTTCTGGGAGAAATAGGAAAATGATCGAATTTTTGTGGAAATTTAGGAGAATCTAAGTTTTATGTGGAATCCGGATCCTCTCCGTGAATTTCATGTGGATTATGGAGAGTTCCAGACACAACATTATCCAATACACGCGATCCCTCTCATCTATTTATAAATATTTTATATTTGTGTCTCCCTTCGGCGAACCTCACAGTGGAGCCACTTCCAAATTTATGGAAGCATTGTATTCATGCAAGTATGCCTTTTTTTACTTAAAAACATAAATATTTTAGCTATCTCTATTTTAAGAGAAAAAAAAATGCCGCTATCCTTGTTTTGTCCATCAAGCAACAGAAGCATTAGCCACGTAAATGATTCATTAATCATTTAGTTTGGCAACCCCTTCGGTTGGGACGAAGGCAAGACCTTTGTTTATTTACTTTTTGTAGTTGCATATGTTTGATTTTTTTAACATACCAGAGCAAAATATAAGTTGAGTTGTCAAGTACAATGTTGGATAAATTGGTCATCGAAATACTTTGGACCTGATGGTGATTGCCTACTTATATAACAGAAGCTATAAATTGGTCGTCGAAATATTTTGGACCTGATGGTGATTGCCTACTTATATAACAGAAGCTATCACTTTTTCCTCAGAATTTGTGTGCCATAACACCGTTTACTTTCTGAAGGTTTGTTTTCTGGTGTTTTGGCTAAACTTAAATGAACATCTTGTAAGTTCAGAAAAAAGCTAGATCTTAATTTTAGAAAGCTGAAAATGTGTCTGGAGCCATTTTATAATTATTATACTAATCATTGACTTTTTTTGTGTGTAAGATATCTTTTTCAACTATCGGACTTTGTATATAACATTGAATTTTATTCCGTGAAGTGTTTATTAAGTAATGTTCATGGACAAAATATTGCAAAGGAAATTTTAAGACTTATTGAACACCTTCTGCGCCATGAATGACATCATAATTCTTAAATTTATGTCAAAACACCTCACTTTCTATAACGTTTTCAGTTTTCTAATATTTTGCGGCTATTAGGATTGCCCAACTCACACTCTCTCTCTCTCTCTCTCTCTCATTTTCTTGTGTGATGTCTTTTACAGCGTACTACCGCGGAGCAATGGGTATATTGTTGGTCTATGATGTCACAGATGAATCATCTTTTAACAGTTATTTCTCTTTCACTTGAGCCTTTCTTTTTGCTTATCTTCTGTAGAGGTTGAATCTTCTCCTTATTGTTCTTTAATGTTTTCCTTACCTATCGTGTAGCCTGTTTTATTGTGTAATAATTTAACATCAATAATGTTTTTTCTTTTTCAATATTGACTTTATTTTCTCCTCAGACATCAGGAATTGGATCAGAAACATCGAACAGCACGCTTCCGACAATGTCAACAAGATACTCGTGGGGAACAAAGCTGACATGGATGAAAGTAAAAGGGTATGCTTTATTGTGTAATAATTTACCTCTCATATTTGCTTCATTTTTATCACCTTTAGTCTTTTAACACAAAGTGAACTTCCACAGGCTGTTCCTACCTCAAAAGGTCAAGCACTTGCTGATGAATATGGAATCAAGTTTTTCGAGACTGTGAGCTTCATATATTGGATATTTTATTTCATATATCTTTATTAATTAAAAAAATGAATATATCAAAATGATGCGGTCTGAATATTATCATCATGTCAAACAGAGTGCTAAGACAAACATGAATGTGGAGGAGGTTTTCTTCTCAATTGCCAGGGACATCAAGCAAAGACTTGCTGAGACCGACTCCAAGGCTGAGGTATCAAGTGTTAATTATACAGGAAAATAACAAAAAAGTGAAAAGAAATACTATTACTATTGAGGTTTAACTTCATCATTAACTGAAAAAAAAAGATAGAAAACTTTGTGGAAATAAAAAATACATGCCTCCCTGAAAAATTTATGCTACGAAATACAAAATTACTCCTCGGGAGGATGCATTTTGATTTTTGTGTAATGAAAACCTATGTTAGGGTAGTATACTGGAATTTTCAAAAGATAACTGGGTGTCTCTGTATTATGCTGAATCTCGCTGTATTTGTAGTTAATTAGGCTAAGGCTATGTTTGGTAAACCTAGCTGATAAGCTATCTTGCAATATTTAAGTGAATTTCGAGCTTATAGCTGATAGCTTATGCCTTATGGCTGGAAAGCTGATTTATATAATAAAAGTGTTTAAGCTAGCTGAAAAATATATATATATATATCTATATATATTTGAAAAACTACTCAAGGAAGCTTATGAAAAAACTTTTTAAAAAAGTTGGTCCTACCAAACCAAACTTATTTGAATACGGGAAGCTTATAAACTAATCAAATAAGCTATAATCTAGTTTATATGCTAACAAAACGCAACCTTAGTTATCCCTACTTCTATATTAATTCTTATTCGACGATATCAAGACTAACTACATGTGTGGTTTTCGCATGAAATGCAGCCACAGGCCATAAGGATTAACCAACCGGGCCAGACAGACGGGACTGCCCAAGCTGCCCAAAAATCAGCTTGCTGTGGCTCTTGAGTCAAATTTTGTTACAAAGAAAAAGAAAACAAAAGAATTTGCCTGTGATTGTTGATAGGATGGCTAGATACATCCCTGGAATTTGACCTTTTTAACTGAAGAACTACTTTTAGTCTTTGTTATTGGCTGCATGTATTTTATTATTATTTTTTTTAAATCACTCATAATTTTTTAGATTTGGTGTTTAAGTTGGAGGCTGTGTTTTATTATTGGCTGATTTTATTATTATGCTACACTATTGTGTTTTATTATTGGCTGATTTTTCTTTAATGAATTCCTTTTATTGTTTTTACATTTGGTGTTTAAGTTGGAGGCTGTGTAATAATACTGAAAAGCTGGACAAACGTGTTTGTGATTGTATTATTTTTTTCAGTCGTTGTCCCATTTCTCTATATGCTTTTGCTCCTACTCTGATATTTCTTTCTCTCTCTCTTTTATTTTACCAAGTAATATCAAACACCTTTTTCAGGAGATGTTACGGTTCTGTTGGGGAACAATTCTGTCGGGGTTTATAACTGTTAGATCAGCTATGCCCGACGGTTATATGATGATCTAACGGGTACAAATCTCGACGGAATGCTTCTGTAATGGGACCATAACATTGTCTCCTTTTTTATTATTATTTTTTTTGAATAATGAAATATTTAGTTAAGGCAATAGAAGTTGTCAAACTATATTTAAATTGGATGTAAAAGAATGGAGCTCCAGCCCTTAACAAGTTTTAACTTTTAAAAAAAATATATGGAAATATTAATATAGAATGTTTATGTTTGATTGTATTTTTTCACACAAGGATAAATAAGTTGAATGAGTTTGAGCTCCATCTTCTAATACTCAACTTCGATCGTTTCATTGAGTCGAGCTCGATCCATTAATTAATTTTAAATATATTTTGAAGTCTAATTAGCGGAGCTCTACTTGTACACAGTGGTATTACATGAGTTCGAGTCCATTCGTTTCTCAAACAAATTTAGAAGCAGTTGATTATTTACTCAAGTGTGCAACAAAAAATTTATAAACTAATAAAATAAGTTATAAACTAATTTATATGTTTACCAAACACGATATAATTGTTTATCCAAGTGAAAGATTTGTTTTTTTTTTTTCGAACGATAGGAAAATTATTATAAATTCAAGTGAAAGATTGATTGATCCAAATCTATTAACGAAATGTCAGACTTGGTTGTTTTTTTTTTTTTNCATTCAGAATGAAATAAAATAAAATTAAATATATAAATTTTTTTCCCTTCTCGTTTCATTCAGTATGAAATGAAATAAAATAAAATAAAATAAAATAAAATAAAAATATATAATTACGAGTTCTGTACTCTTGATTTCCAGCTTTTGTTCCTTTTTTCTTGTAAAATTAAAATGGCGCGTGTTCCAAATTTAATCCGACAAAATAAACCAGAGATTTTCAGACATTATCTCCCCCAAAGCTTCACATTCTCCAGAAAATCCCACGCCCGACCCGCATACAATCCCAACCCGACTCAATCAAATATTTCGGGCCCACACTCACTCGCACACAAAATGTTCGACGAATTGCCCGAACGAAACGTGAAATCGGCAACAGCTCTAATCGGCCGCTTCGCCAAAGAAGGCCTCCACAGGGAAGCCTTCACTTGCTTCCTGAGAATGCTCTCCTTAGACATCAGACCCAATGAGTACACTTTCGGCACATTAGTTCATTCGGCTGTCATCCTTAAAGAACTCCGGTTAGGCAAACAAATTCACTGCATCGCGAAAAAAATCGGCCTCGACTCGAACGTGTTTGCGGGCAGCTCAATTCTTGATCTTTATGCCAAGCTCGGAGGTCTAAACGAGGCTCTGAGGGCATTTACGGAAATAAACTTGCCAAACGTGGTCTCTTACGCGACTTTGATACGTGCGTACATGAGAGAAGGTAGATTTGACGAAGCCCGACTCGTTTTCTGGTCGATGCCCGAGAAAAACGTGGTCTCTTGGAACACCATGATCAGCGGTTGCAGCCAGTCGGGAGAAAACGAGGAGGCCGTGAATTTTTTCGTCGAGATGCTTAGAGAAGGTTGTGTTCCGAGTGAGCATACTTATCCATGCGCGATTATCTCGGCCGCAAATATCGGGGCCTTAGGCATGGGGAAAAGCATCCATGCTTGCGCGTTGAAGTTCTCGGGCGATGATCTAAGCTTGTTTCTAGCGAACTCGTTAATAAGCTTCTACGCGAAATGCGGAAGCATGGAGGATAGCCTTTCGGTTTTCGAGAGAACCCGCGAGAAGAATATCGTGTCTTGGAATGCGGTCATTTGCGGGTACGCACAAAATGGTCGGGGAAATAGTGCGATTCAAACTTATCGGAAAATGAAGCGAACGGGCTTCGAGCCGAATAGTGTCACGCTTCTCGGGTTGTTATGGGCATGCAATCACGCGGGCCTTGTCGACGAGGGGTACGAGTACTTTAACGAGGCAAGAAACGAGAACCCGAGCATCGTGCAAGCGGAGCACTACGCGTGCATTATCGATTTATTGTCTCGTTCGGGGAGGTTTTTCGAGGCAAAGGAGTTCATAAAAAACTTGCCTTTCGATCCGGGTGTCGGGTTTTGGAAGGCATTGCTTGGTGGGTGTCGGGTCCACTCGAATTTGGAATTGGGGGACGTTGCGGTTAGGAAGATACTCGAGTTGGATCCAAAGGACGTGTCGTCTTATGTGATGCTATCGAATGCGCATTCTGCAGCCGGGAAGTGGGGCAATGCGCTAAGTGTGAGGCAGAGGATGAGTGAGAAAGGTCTCGATAGGGTCCCCGGTTGCAGTTGGATTGAAGTTCGAAGCAAGATTCATGTGTTTGTTAAGGATGATAAGAGGCATGAACAGAAGAATGAAATTTACAAGGCTTTGGGGTTTTTCTTCGAACACATTAGGGATGGTCGAGATAAGAAAGTTGTAATGGAAACTTGAACTCATATTAGTCCAACTGATTTTTGGAGATGAATTTTGAATCTTTTTCAAGATTCTAATGACATGTTTTTGTTTCAGTATGAGAGAAGTTGGTATGTGGTAAAGTAAGAAGAAGAAAATTACATAAACACTAAGATAAACCCTGTGACTATGAAGTATCAGAAGGCAATGCATTAAAACACTTGAGATGGCTTAGGCAATAAATAAACACAATCTGAAGCTTCAATATCTAAATTCAACAAAAAGTTGTTTTAGATTCGAGTACCAAAATCAAAGTTTTCTGGTTCAAATCCACTGGAAAGGAAAAAAACATAAAACACAAAACTTAGAGCTCCAATCACTCAGATAATTCCAATTTTGTTGGCGACATCCAAAGCATCATAGTCGGGTGTCAACCTAACATACGCCTTCTTAGTCCCATCAGGCCTGAAAGAAGGAAAATATAAATCAAAATAAGCAAAAACAAAAACAACCGCGAATCGGACAAGTGCATGTTACAGTCTCAGATAAACCATAACATCATTTAGTATTTTGCCTAGCAATAAAAATGCAGGGTAAAGAAACAAATAATATATGTTTTTCGTTAAAGCACATCCATATAATAATACTGCAAGACATTTTTTTACATCAACTGAAAAGTAATGAAAGATCTTGAAATAACCTATGGATGTAGACAATAAAACAATGAAAAGTCATCAGACTTCAAGATGCATCTTGCGGATCAATTGGACAAATGCATGTTACTCTCATGTAAACCATAGCATTGTTTACTATTTTGCCTAGCAATACAAATGCGAGGGACGAAAAACAAAAAAATACGTCTTTTGTTAAAGCACATCCATATAATAATACTGAAAGACAATTTGTTTTACACTAACTGAAAAGTAATGAAATCCCCAGCTTACCTGATAAGGGTGTTAACTTTCTTGGTCTGGATTTCATACATTTTCTTAACGGCATCCTTGATCTTCTTCTTATCAGCTCGGATATCGACAATGAAAACCAGAGTGTTGTTATCTTCAATTTTTTTCATGGCCGATTCTGTGGTCAGAGGGTATTTCAAGATCTGGTACTGGTCGAGCTTCTGGCGGGGAGGGGCACTAATGCGTGGGTACTTAGGATTCCTCTCCTTCTTCAAAGTCCTCGGCCGGTGAAAAGTGACCTTTGTCCTTATTTTCTTAGACTTCTTCTTGAAGGTTGTCGAACCTGCTTTCACGGCTTTGGCAGTCTTCAAGGCCTTGGCCTTGGGGTCAACCTTCTTTGCTGGGTCAACTGAAGGCAATATAAGAAGACTGAATTGGAAATGGTAACTCGTAAAGTTTAAGCAAACTATCAAGAAACTCTTAGAAGATGCTCAGAACAATGTATTTATTATTAATGCAATGCATGAATAGCTATGAAACTAGGGAGCTATACATCAAACTATATACGAATAAACGACATCCAAACAAATGAATAGTAGAACTCTTGCACCCCACATGATTAGGAGCCAATAACACCACCAGATTTCATTCTAGGAACATGTTTAAATAATCATAGGACAAATTCCAGCACCCCACAAGCCTATAGGTCAATAAACGCATCACAACATTCTAGGAACACGTTTAAATAATCACCAGACAAGTACCATAAACAATTCGAAAGTTTCAATCTTTTGAGTTCAACAAAATATAAGCAACTTTTTTCCCACATATCATTACCGCCAATAAGTTTAAAGCAATGCACCTAAGCTAAATGATTCTAGAGACCCACATTCAGCTCCCATATCCATGGAGATACATTCTGGTTGTCAGTTTAAGGTACTAAAATTCATACACCGATAGCAACATCGAAAAACATAGCTAACACGTTCAAAATATCAAACCAACACCGAGTAAATGTAACCATTTTAACATACAAAAAACATGTAAGGCAGCTTAGCAGTGCACAGTTCTTATTAACAACTTTTCACCATAACCTAACAGATTATGGCTGCGCAGAAAATACAAACTAAAGATCAACCATCGCTACTACAATTGCGACAAAAAAATAAAATTAACGAACCCTTAATCTGTTCGCACAAAAAATACGTACCTTTAGCTGGAGCCATTTTCAATGGATGCGACCCTAAATGCAGATTGTCTTACCTGAAAAACCCCACAAAATTAGCTAAATCTGTATGTTATTATAGAGCCTGCTAATGGATTTCTACAGATGAATCAATGGAGGAAAAAAATTGTGAGATTGAAGCAAAGAGGAAGCTAACCTTTGGAGGGGACTGCCGTTCTAGGGTTTTGGATGTGAGAAGATGATTAATTTTATACCCGAGAGAAGTCACGGACTTATCACGTGCCATGGCCATGTAGGGTATGTTTGGTAAGCCAGATAAGTTAGATTATAGCTTATTTGGTTAGCTTATAAGCTCCATGTTTAAAATAAGCCTCGTTTGGTAGGACGAACTTTTTTAAAAAGCTCGAATTTATTTCATAAGCTACCTTAGGTAATTTTTCAAATAAGCTAGTTGAATTTTTTATTTCAACTAGCTTAACTAATTTACCAAACATCTTATCTTTTATCATATAAGTTAGCTTTTCAGCTATAAGCTCAAATATTACATATAAGCTATAAGTTAGCTTATCAGTTAGTTTTACCAACATAGCCGTGGTGTTCCTCTCTCTTCTTCTTCTTTATATTTTTTGTCATTTTCTCCATTTTTCTCACTTTAATTAGTTTTGGTTTTTTATTTCTAATATATATATGTCAATTAATGATGCTTTATAATAGACTTGTGTAGATGATTTTTTTCTATTTATTTAAACTTTTAAAAGTTTTGAAATATTTGGATAATCTAGTTAAAATATTTAATAATATTTTTATTTTTCTCGCAAAACATACATGCAATTGATCATATTTTAATGATTTTAAATTTGATATTTATATTGTATATATAAAATAAAAATATAAGCTATTTTTTATAACTTTAATTAGATAGATTAAAATTATTATTACATGTTAAAACAAAATTATCTTTTGTAGCATATTACAACGATTTAGAATTTTTTTTTTTTGTCTATTTTAGCCTATTGCAATTATTTAGAAAAATATTATTATAGGACAAACAAGTCGTATGGGTGACAAGTGACATTCTAATTTTTTTTTTTTAAAAAAAAAGATACTTAGTTTTTCTAAAAAAAATTTACAAAAATAAATGAAAACTTCTATTTTATTTTATTATAATTTCATAAATATCAAACTCTTAAACACCGTTAATAAACAACTAGTACAACACCCGTGTATTACACGGATACTTGTTAAAAAATTATTCTTAAATTTTAAAATTAATGAGAAAACTATATTAAATTTAGTTTACGTTTTTACAAAAAAAATATATTACTATATATTTTATA